ACAGTGGGTAAGCTGGGTGCGCAGGAAGCAGCGAGAGGGGTTAGGAGGCGGCCAGGCGGTGGGATATCAGGGGGGCCTGGGGAGTATGGGCGGGTCTGCGGTGACTGGTTATGGTGTTTCCTTGAGGAAAGCTCGAGGGGGAAGGGATGGGAGGAACGGTGGGAAGAAGAAGAAGGACTGCGGAGGAGCCCAGCGTAAGCCAGAGGGCGGTAGGCATCAGGTCCTGCAGCAAGTTGAAGGAGAGCTGTCGGAGGAGGCCGGCCAGGGGGAAGACCTTGGAATGCATCTGGGGCGTATGCCAGAGCAAAGGAAAGGAAGATATCGGGGGCAAAGGGAGAGGGAGCCGGGACGGAGGCCCTCCGGCCACATCCGGGAACCTCGAAAAGGGGCTGTCAGGACCAGGAAGCTCCAAGGACTTTCCCCGCAACTCCAGGAAGATCTCAGAAGGAAGCGACGACAATTGGAGGTCGAGGAAAGTAATAGGGTAAATGAAACCTTCCACAACACCTTACTTCTATTGAAAGAGCTGTCTGCGGAGGCCGAAGGAGATGATGTCAGAGAGGGCATGCAACTTGATGAAAGACCTGAGCGCCATGTCGCCGGAAATAAGATCGTACCCAGAAATCAGATTGAAGAGTTGGTGGAGGGTTTTGGACGGGCGGAGCAAGGCCGAGAAAATTTCGGGGAAGAGACATCACACCGGGAGCTGGCAAGTGCGGAAGACGAGGTCCGTAGGCTGCGCGCGTTGGTAGCAGATCTTGAAAAATCCGCTCTTGGAATTGAAGGGGTCGAAGGGCATAGAAATTCTCCTGAGACCTATCTAGAGTGCAAGGCGCAAAGTATGCACCGGGAAAATTGGATGGTGCAAGAATTGGAGGAGCGAACGCCAATTTGGGCACTCGATGCGGATCTCCCGGGATTAGCAGGAAGATCAATTGCCAACGAGACTCACATGGAGCGGATTCCTTTAGGGCCATTGCAATCCCGCAATTTGCAAGGCATCGCTTCTGGTACGGGCGCCAAATGTCTGATTGACGTGTTGCCAGATTCGCCTGCACAGTTTCAGGAGCATTGCGAGAAGGAAGTGGGCGCAAGTTACCTCGATGACGAGGAAGAGACAGACCTGGAGGCTCTCGAAGTCATGCGCGGGGAAATATCCCTCCTGGAGCATCGTATTAAATTTCGATTTCAGCAAAAATCTGCACGGGGAGAGATTTGTGCGGCATAGATAACCAGACTGTCACAAGGCTTGTCGCTGGAATGATTGTCGACGCAATGGATAGCAGCTCAAGAGCGAAGCTTGTACACACTGTACCAAGAAATTAAAAAACTTTAAAGTGTAACATTTCATTGGATACTGACATAGACACGATAATGTGGCGTTTTTTTGGGGGTTCGAGTGAAATCTCTGAGCCATCCAATGGGGAGGTTGGGCTCGAGTGAGAGCGGCACGGTAGCGATTCCTGCCGTTAAATTCGGACTGAGGTGTGTCACCTATAACAAGCTTACGTGGGCTCTCGCACATTTGTAGCGACCACATGCGCGACCAATATCCCATATGTCTGTCCATATCTTTCATTCAGTAAGGACGAGCGTATAGAATTTATAGGCTCGTGTCATGAATGCCTCCGATACATCGCTCTAGGCAAAGTGCGTAAGTGTTGCTCTCGTCTCCTGGTGCATAGCTAGCTTCCGTGCTTGTAAATTACGATTTTCTTCGCTACATTTTATCACCAGTGTTATTTTGACTTGTTTTGTTAGCCGGTTGGGCTGTCTTTGCTTTTACATTTCTTTTTTACACACAGGAAATGGCGAATTTTGCTTATTCAACGTGTGTATTTTAAAAATTCAAAATAAGAGGGGGAGAGCGAAGAAACGATCGAGCAGTTGAATTCGTCGCCGTCCTTTGAAGCATTTGGTATCGCACCCACAAATGATGTTAAGCGTCCCCTTACCAACGTAATTTTTTTTGGCACGCGATAAGTTGGTGCACAGAGCTTTATAATTTTGTGAGAGAGGATGGCTTTTTTTGACATAGTACGGCCGCCTTTCAATAAGTTCGCGATGCGTCAAGGAAGGCGAAGGGCTGGCGGGACCATCGGTGACGCGATCACCATTTGTATTGAAGCAGAGCGTTTATTATCTCAGCGCAAGGTCAAAATACAACGAAATGTGCATATGGGCAGTTTCTAGTGTGCTGCACTGAGATGTGCCGCATACAAAAGATCTTCTTGACCATCGCGGACAAAACAAAAAAGGTTCTCTCAAAACGAACAAGCAGCAAACTAAGGCCCAGTGCACCAATTCTGGCCAGGAGAGGCTTTATTTGTCGATGCAGCATACAATTGAGCGACATTAATAGAGAAAAGGAAGGGAATCTGTGGGATACGGCCATGTTTGCGTGTGCTATCCATACGTTGGAAAAGACCGCTGCTTGTGCCCTCTTTATCCGCTCCTATATACTTATCCGTGTGATGTCGTACAGAATTGAATTGACTCATCTTGGGATTGACACTCATCTATCACTTACGTGCAACATTCTTTATCGCTACCCCATTCCCTCGCAGAGTCCTAACAGTCGCACCAAGTTAGTACCCGTTTTCGCATCCGACGTACAAAATGCCATCTGTCGCAGCGCCACTCTGTGCAGCTAGCAATAGCAAGTCTGTCATGAGTAGTATCCTATCTGCACCAGCGGCTTGGGCTGCAGACTCTGTATCGCTCCCAGCCAAAAAAGAGTCTCCAAACAAAGCAACGTCATCAACGCCGCTCAAAAAACGGAAGTCGTCGCATGACGACACGCTTTCTCCCGGCATTGCGTCTTCCGAGCCTCCCATCCGACGCCCAAAATACGCGCCGACCGCCCTCTCTCCTGGAAAGATTTCCGCGGCTGTCACGGGCGCCGGGCATCACAAGAAGGTCTTGCCTACGATTATCCGCATTGTCGGCGCCTGCAATGAAAGCCCCAGAATGGGTGTCAAACGCCGGGCCCTGACCGCACATCCCTCTTCTTGCAAGCGGGTAAAAAGCATGGTTGCCGAGGTTGTGCACCCCCATGGTCAAGACACGCAGCCGCCACCGCCCCCAAGGCCCCTCGAAGAACCCTTCATCCTCGGCGTCCCCCCCACGTGCAGCAACAACAACAGCAGCAGCGGTAAAAACGGCAACAACAGCTCCAGGGTAGCCAAAGCAATGAAAGACATCGATATGCAAGTCAAGAGCAGTAATGGAAGCATGAACGGGAGCCCTTCGTCAGGCAGCGTCAATTCAGTCAGTACGCCGTCCAAGTGCACATTGTCGTTGCGATCCTCTTCGCAAGGAGGCATAAGCCCACCCACATTGAGAGGGAGGGGCTCGGCAGCAAAAGAGCCACCGGCACCGGAGCCAGTCCCAGTGGTTCTTACAGAAGTCATGGAAGATGCCATGGATCGGATCTCCACGAGGCTCCTCGCTGACGACTTGGCCGGCATGGCCCAGCTGCTCTCCTTCGTCGCTCAAGCTCAAGTACAGTGCCAGGAGCATTTGGAACTCTTTAACATGGCCATGAAGAAAGTAAACGAGGCTCCTGCGCTACGAAAGGATTTTTGCGATTTCGAGAAAGTCTGGAGCTGTGTGGATGTCGTGTATGGGCGGCGACCCTCGGCGATTTTTGCCGATTTAATAGACCCTCGTTTTCCTGTGGTACACACGTACCACCAACACATCTTCTTGCGCCTATTCATGCACTACGCTGTTACACGCCTGCAACTGCTGCGGGACATGGTGATGGAGAAAAGCGGGGGTCCAGACGTGGAGGAAGTAGGCTTGGTAGATACTTTCCTAAAGTTTTGGTTCCAACGGGCCCCTGCATACCTATGAGACTGAGGGTCTCACCCAGACAAGCCTTTCAGGACACACGTGCTTCTTCCTGCCTATTTAATAGGGGTATGGAAATTCTGGCGACAATACCAGGGTAAAAGCCATCTTAAAATGGCTGAAAACTTTTGTCGTCCCGCTATGGGCGAGTAACCGCTATTTGAGAGTTATGAGTACGAAAATTACATATACTTTTTTATATTTATATACAGACGGGACTTTATGAATGAGAAATTAGGCTGAAAAGAATGGCAATCGGGTCGTCTAGCCATAGAATTCTGCCAATGGCTATATAGCCCAGGGGTATCGAACTTTTAAAATATGCGTTATCAAGCTGTGTCTCACACCTTCATATATCCGTATTGGGGCAGCAGCTGCTTGCTCAAGTCAAGTATGCGCTTTGTAAAAAAGGCTACTCCGCACATACGTGGAAAATACCAAGCGGATTTGCTACACAAACGCACTATAATGTTGGTCATAACATCAAACGCGCTGTCTAAGCTTGTAGGCAATCATAATGATAAAGTGCTTAGTGAAAAAGAAAGATCTTTATCAGCAACATTTTGCTTACATTTATATCCATTGTAAATCACGTAGACAACATGTCAGCGTTTTTACTCAGAGACTTGTCCTAGTATTCACGCTAGCCCGGAATCACATTCGCAATCGAAAGTTTGAGCTTCGAACAAAAAAAATGATGTCCGCTTATTTGCTCCCCCGGGACATCTTTTCGAGGCAAACGCACCATGAAGAGTCGCCGCGATGCCCACAAAATGTTGATACGCACGATCAATGTTAAGTCCAAGCTTGAAATTGGTCATGGTCGTGTGAAAAGCATTTGCTTCGTTCTTCTAGACAAGTCTTTGTAAAATATGGCCAACCTCCTGCCCTCTTTCTAGCAGTCAAGCGACAATAAAGCAACACGCATTAGCGTGCTGCAAATCGTGCGAAGCTTCAAAGCACTATCAAATAATGAACAACTAGAACTCAGCTATGGAACCCTTTGGTTTGCCATTACAACGCTCCCTAGACTTTGCCCTGGTGTTCAGTCTCCTCGCAGGTCGCTCATTGGAAGACGTTAACCCGGAGCTTCTGAATCGCTACACAAAAACGTTCACTTTAAAAAACTCTACCACTCACGTGCTACCGACAGACTGTCCATATGTCTCTTCGCTCTAGTGCATCGGCGACCACCAAAGGCCAACGCAACTATAGGAGTATGCTGCGGCGTGTGTGGCAGTTCCTCCTCGACCGCTTTCTCGTGTCCTTTAATGGCCTGATTACCGTGTGGCGTCTTGCCCTGCATTGGGTGAACAGTTACATTCTATATTACGACTACGGAGGAAAACCTGCCAATGATTTTCATCATAAGGCGGTTTTAATAGGAGACGGATTGGCGCAAGGTTTTGGGTCGTGGGTTTCATTAGGGAACACGTCGGGTCCTATGCGTTACCTGAACGAAGAAGTGAGGCGGAATGCGGCAGTAAAAATGGAGTGGGTGTTTTTTGAACGCGGAGCTTTACATAGCACCACTCAAGATTGGATGCCTCATGAAAGCGAAAACAAAGGCGTGGGGACGTCCGAAGCGGCGAGGCCGGAGCCACAGGGTGAAATTCGCGGAGACCACCCAGAAAGCGAAGACTCCTCCCTCCTCCAGCCCCTCCCTGCGATCAAGCCCCCGCGGTCGCTGTTGGATGCCGTGCTCTCAAGCCGAAGTGGGCGCGATGCCTGCGTGTACATCGTCATGGTGGGTTTGCAAGACCTTCTCCGCACGAAGGATGCCGGCGCCCTCTCGGCCCTGGCGGCTGGGGGAGACGGAGCGACACAGACCGGGCGCATGCTCCCTTCCACTGCCCTTGGCACCAACAGCGAAACATACGGGATGGACAGGGAGCCTTCGAGCGCGAGGCCTTGGTGTCGAACAGTCAGCCACCTCCGCGCCATCCTCCTCCACCTCTTGGCTCAACCCCACAGCCCGCACGTCTGCCTCTGCACGCTGCCGACCGTGGGGGTGCCTTCCTCCCTCCGCGCGCGGGCCATCAAAGGCGTGAACGCCCAGATTGCGTCCATGGTGCGGTCTTTGCCCCCTGTCCCTTCACCTGCCTCCCATCCACAGGCACCGCGGCCTCCAGTCACCCTTGTGGATCTCAGCCAGCGCCGAGTCTCACGCCCGGAGGGAAGGGCCTTGGACGGGGTGCATTTCAACTCGACGGGGTACAAGAGCATGGCAACGGCGGTCTTGGAGGAACTGGCGCCGGTCATGGTCCGGCATGAATGGGCCATATTGCAGGGATTCTTGTCGGGGAAAAAGAGGAGGGACAAGAGAAGGCCCGATGGGTGGCTGGGGGGGTGGCTAAGGAGGGGAGGAAGGGAGGGCGAGAAGGAGAAGGTGGGGTGAGCGAGGGCAGAGGGCCTAAGGCCCACGCATGTATTCTATTTTCTTGAGTGCCAACAAATGCATTTACCCGCCAATTGCGTCACACAAGGGGCTTCGTTTGATTTGCATGTGGTCGTGGGGTCCCGTGGCTGACCCTGGTAGGTGAAGGGGGCGGTGTGCCTCCTGCAACGGACGCTCGCCCCCCCTGTCCTTCCTATTCCTCTTCGCCGTCCGCGTCATAGCCTCTCTCTCGGGGCAGGTAGTGTCTTCGAAGCGTCCGCCAAAGCTCCCGGTCCAGGGCCAAGCCTTGTCTCAGCACCGCGCGGGCAACACCCTCCCCTTCCCCTCCCTCTCCCTCCATCACGTCCCAGCTGCCTTTCAGTACCTGGTCCTCCAGCTGTCCCGGACCCCATGACATGTAATTGAACCACCATTTGAATTGCGATCGATCCAGTCCATGCTCTGCCTTGTTTTCTGCGGGGGCGAGAATTTGATGGTCAGTGGGATGAGTTTCGTAACAATGAGAAAGGGAAGGGACAATGGACTGGCGCGGAGGGAGGAGAGACGTGGAGAGCATTGCGAGCCATGTTTCTTCAGCTGCATGCATGCCTTAGCCATAACGACAGCGAGCGATTTTCTGTGGTCAAGCCACAAAGAAGAGACGCCACACATGGTTGCAGGGACATTGCGCCCGCCTGTCCCGATTCACGTACCCTCCTGCTCTTTGAACATGGCCTCCGCTCCACTCAAACCCCCATAGTAAAGCCCGCCACCCACGGATCGCACTCCTGGCACGTGCTTGTACGGATGCAACAGCACGGCCATGTCTCCTCCTTGCTCCCCGCCCAAAAAGACGGTGTGATTCGCGAAGACGGACGCCGCAAAGGGCGGCGCAAGCTCGGACAAGGTAAAGGCGGTCGGCTTCTCCAAGACAACCCCGCGGGAGCCAGTCTCAGAATCATGCTTGTACAGGAATAAGCAGCTTTTGCTTGTGAAGTGGTTGTACTCCCATGGTTTTGCTACCAGGATCTGGCCTTGTTGGAGTGCCGGGGGTACGCCTGCAGGGAGGCTGCGTATATTGATGCCTTCAGCGAGCAATGGTTTGTCGAGTGAAAGCGTCGTACTCCGGCGACCACGACGCTGCGCTCGTGACCCCTCAAGTAGTTGAACAGACGAATGAAAGTGGTGGAATGCGGAGATGCTAGTGCTTTGGACCAGGAAACTCAAGCCTAAAATAAGGTAGAGCGTAAAGGGCATCCCCCCGCCCTAACCCCCAGCTCTGCAGCTCCTCCGGTTGGCTTCAACACACCTTTTCAAGCAAACGCCGGGTGTGTGTGACCTGATTTTTTGGTATATTTTTTTGTACACATAAATAAAAGCCCGAGGGGGGAGTGAATATTTAACCTATGTCTCTTTTTAGGCGGCATCGCCCAGAAAAGCTCCAGCGTGAGGGATCCGGCGACGGCGGCCGTGTCGCTTTTAGTGCAGCAAAACCTTACACGGCACCTCAGGCCCCGAGTATTTCACGGTCTCATGTGTCGTATCAGGCCGATATACAACTGTGCACGCTGTACGTGCCCTGTAGCGCGGAGGTGGAGAGTGTTCGAACACGTCAAAAAGGATACGAGGAACCGAATTCGGAGCATTGCGATGAAGCCCGTGCCGTAAATTATTAGTTAGTTCCAAATGGTATTCACCCTTTGACACGACCGCGCGAGCCACCCCGAGTATCGTATGCAGTGGTACTCCAACGTGTGAAGCATGTATCCCGTGTCAAAGGATTGTTGGGGACCCTTTACGTTTCTCGGTTCAGTGATCTCCCGACACTGATCCTAATTGCTCGCCTTCTTGTCCTTTCTATTTCCTACAGAGTCTTGCGCCTCCAGCATTCGCCCGCCAAGCCTGGTTCACAGCCTAGGTCCCAGTATCATGATACGGTATTACATTCCTGGCGACGGGGACGACGCGTCGCACCCAAACATCTTTCATCTCCCACCATCGGTCCAACAACCCCCCCGGTTGCGGGACGTTCGACATCACTTCCCGCTCCCAGGCGGCTACCACTTCCGCTTTAAGACACGATTGGATGGAACTCCCGACAAGAAAGCGGTCTGGATGGACGTCACGGAGGACGCGGCCGAGCTTCCTACTTTTGACGGATTTTACATAGCCAAGGTGTCACGGATGCGCATGGAAATGCCGAGCAAGCCCACGGCGGCGGGGAGTACGGGTATGTCTTCTTCTTCCTCCTCCTCCCCCACGTCTGCGGGTTATTCCAGGACAAGCCAAGCCACAGGCCCCGTCTCAGCGACCAGAGCGACTCCCTCCGCCTCCCCATCCCCGCCCCTTCGAGGCAACAAGGGACTTGTGTCGCCGGCCTCCGACAATGATCCGTTCGGGCTCTTTCACGAAGCCCCTCCCTCGTCCTCCACCTCCTCCTCCTTCTCAAAGGCCCCAGCGAGCGTGTCTGGGAACAGCAGTGCGCCCCACGCGACGACGAGCAGCAGCCACCCCGCGGCTCGCGGCCATCCACCGCACTCTACTCCAGGGTCACAGGGAATGTCTGGAGGAAGCAAGGTAGCTGCAGGGACGGCCGCTGGTGGGAAAGGAGATTTACTAGATTTTGATGCCTTTGGCAGCCAACCGCCGGCTCCTTCAGTGCCACCCATGAGGGGAGTGCCTCCCATGCGTGGAGTGAGTCCACCGCAGCAGCCACAGCAGCGGCAGACGGGCTACCCTTCCTCGTCCAATGCGACCGGGGGATGGATGTAAAGAGAGAGGTACGACTCCTAACAGGGAGTAAAGAGGAGCCCAATAGAGGGCCGCTCCCGACGTCTGAACCAAAGCAAAATAGGGACCACGAAGAACACACTTCTTTGATCGGGTTCGCAGTCATTCAACATGCTATTTAAACACGCGCCTTTGTACACTGTGGCTTTGTCGTTCGTCCTCCACATTTCTCACCCTTTACTGTCCTCCTTCCTCTCCTCTGCGCACCGGGACCCTTTTTCCCCAGCACCACCCTCCGCGCTGTCTTCCCCCTCCCCCCCCTCTTGAACCGCGGGACCTGCTTTGTCAAGCGAAGAAAGTCTCCTCCCATCCTCCCTTGTCCTCCTTCTTCCTTTGACAGCCTGACTGTCCCTCCCCGGCTTTAAGGGTTCGCCTACCTTGTGCAAAGAAAATCGACCGGGCAGACCGCCCGGAGGAACGAACGTGGGAAGCTCTGGGATGTCTGGCAGACGGCCCTTGGATGTCCACGCTGTGGGGTATGGTGGGATGAACGGTCAGGGCCCCTGAAGGCAAAAGCGGGCGGAGGCACGTACACACATGCCTGGAAGGGTGTACTGCCACACCGCATCGAGACGGCAGGTGGAGGGGGTCGCTTTGAGAGGCACGGCTACATCCCTACATACCCAGAGGGACAAATGGTTGAAAGGCCTGAGCCGCAGCTAAGACGCACGACAAGAGAGATGAAGAGCAGACAGGAAGATTTGCCGTTTCCCAGTCCCAGACGAAATACTTACGCCGGTCACAGTCACAGCACAGATAGCAGCAAGAGATCATGCTCTGCGTCATGACTAGGGCGAGGAGGACAACAGCGATTACAGTTTGCGTGTACACGGCCCCAAAAAAATGTTCACAGAAGAATAAAAACGAAGGCAAGTAGCAACACGGACTGGAACTTGCCATTGTCACAGCCCCTTCAGCCCCGGAGACCCCTTCCGTCGGATCGGCCAGTACCCGCTGACGTGTTTGAGTGGCAAAAGAACTGACGGGATAAGGACACAGACTCAAATCCTCAACAGCCAGGCAGGAGGCTTCAGCGGCCAGACATAATCCTTTTCTTGTCGTACCCCACACTGTTGGGATTATTGCTGCGGTCAGGCATACAGCAAAGCCAAAAATATTGGCGCAGTAGTAGACACCATATAGAGGGGCAGCGTGCAGGCACCGCCCTATCAACCCGATGGCGCTTGCTACCATTACATAACCCCCAGCAATCCAGCTGACACGGACCAGCATGTCAGTTGCGGCTTCTGCACTGTAGGCGTAGCTAGGGTCGTCAAGGACCCCGTACACAGGTTCAGGTTGGATTTCCCCTTTAATGTGATGAGCATGGCCAATCAATGCGGCGGCCACTATGACTTTGAGAATTAAAACAAGTATATCTACGAATGTTGACTTGTTCCAAGCCGCATACTGCATCTGCCGTCGACAGCGGTCGCACGCACCAATATGTGTGGATACCTGGCAATGACAACCTAGGAACGTTGAGGACGGCAATGAGCAATGGGAACCGTGTCGAAACGTCGTGTGGGGGCTTGGGACCACTGGTATATAGGCGTCAGGGCGCTATGAGGATTTAATGGATCGATCGGCAGGGGCCAGCGAGCATGCGAGGTCGCGAAGAGAAATACTGGGCAAACGGCCGGAAACACCACTAACATACGACTAATTTTTGATTTCATCGTCGCCAACATGTACACTGGCAGGCTCATCTATTTTCCAGGGCCCTTTGCACTTCATTACATGGAGCAGTAGTGCCAATTTGCGGTGGGACT